CCGGGCTAATAAGCTGCTCTATCAGCAGCATCCACAAATTAATGGAACAAAAAAATTTTGAACTTGAAAATAGTTTTTGTGCGAGTGCACTTGCTAAATGAAGGCAGATTATATAAAATAGATCAAGCAAAAAATGTTTATTAATGAGCTGCAGTTTTATTACATCACACACTGGCACATTATATTAACGCCACGGGTCATCAATAAAGTAAATACTGAATGTGGTCCTCCAATTTCAGTACATTATTTCCAAGTGTTTTAGAATTTTTCCACAGTGCGCATCGCATGCTTAAACTCATCAGGAGTCAACAAGCTGCCGACTTCTCCAAGTGACTGCTGCAGAGCGCACGTGAGGGAGAGACGTGGCAGTGCAGATTGCGCGTCTCTGTATGTACTTAAGCAAATGGGAGTGGCAATTTACCGCATTATGAACATGACACTTCTGGGAGTTATTACAGTTTTTCTCGATTGCTTAAACACATTTCTTGAAACTATGCCTCGTATTCTCAAAACCGTAAACACAAATCCATAACGTCTCACCCAATACCCCAAACATCCTATTTTCAGGTCAAAATTAAGCTCTACACTCAAAACCATTCACTCTTGCTGAAAAACCAAACTTTTCCCTCAGACATCACACACAAGCTTTCAAAAACACACACACTACAAAATAGTATTACACACTGGTGCAATAAATTCAAAACAATATATCCAAAACTGGTAAGTTATGTTGCTTGTGGTTCTCCCCCTCAAAAACCTTTTCACATGAACACAAAAGACACAACCAATGTATACATTGGCACATTTTTATTCATTCATGTACTACACTGCACAACTGTAAAAAAATAAAATAATTATTATTCCGCCTCAGCATCCCATGCAGCGTAGGTAAAATCCTCTTGCATGCCTGATCCACCCCTGGCATGCATCTACTGATAGGTCTACGCAGGCTTCTTCCATGACCTGGAGGAGGTGAGCATGGATATAAGGTTCTCGGTCATACACTTTCCACCGCCATGCCGAAAAAAACTCCTCTATCGGGTTTAGAAAGGGAGAGTATGCAGGCAGAAAGATGTTAGAAAACCTCGGGTTATTGGTAAACCAGTCACGAACCAGAGCAGCGCGATGGAAGCTGACATTATCCCAAACAACAATGTAACGAGGCTGCTCTGGCTGTGCTGGTTCCCTGAGGTCCAGCTGGAACATATGCTCTCTTAGACCGTCAAGGAAAAGCAGGCCGGCATTCAACCTCAAAGAGTCTCTGCAAAACACATGAAACACAGTAGAGTAAATCACTGCCCTGAAGCACAGTTCAAGAGCGCACAAATGGCAGCATAAACTGCTATACTGTGATTGTACACAGTACTTCATACGATATCAAAACTCATACCTGAACATATTCCACACGTTGGTCTTTCACTCTGTCAGAGTTTCGTTTGAAAGGGACGCGGTACACCCGTTTCATCCGGAACTGGTGCTTTCGGAGGATGTTATTTCTTGTTTGAGTCTTTACATACTGTTCAAATCCTGGCAAGAAAGTCTCCAATTTGCATTGGTTTAAATCGCCCAGCACGATCACAGGTGCATCTGAGTAGCTGAGCTGTAGTTCATGAACATGGTCCGCTATCAGGCTGGCTGCCTGAGATGTTTTACCGCTGGGCGGAACATATACCACGAACAGCAAAATACAACCGAATTCTCTAGGCAGATAATAAAGTCTTAAAGTCATGCCGAGAATTTCCACATTGGGATCACACACCTTGTATTTTACTGAATACGCTCGGCACCATTTATCATTTATATATACACAGATGCCACCTCCTTTACTTTTACCCGAAACTTTGTCTCTATCAGCTCGTACTAATGTAAATCCAGGGACCTCAAAGAGCGAGTCAGGCATTGTAGACTGCAACCAACTTTCCGTAAAGCAAAGCAGAGATGCCTCACGAAATTCATAACAGTAGGGAAATGTAGGGATTTGTGTGGAGTTTTGCAGTAACAGTTCACCAAATCTGACTCATGTGTTAAAGCAGGGGAATAGTGTTTATAGTTCAGCAAAATGGGTGTGCTTTTTGAAAAATGACGTTATGGTTTTGAAAATTTAGTTCAAAAACCTGGTTATAGTGTTTTAGCAATTCGAGAAAAACTGTAACATTGTACACAAAACCTGCAACTTCACACATGATTTGACGAGAGTCATGAGACCGATTACCCTCTCTTTAAAATTAAAACAAGCATGTAACGATCACAAATGGAGGAAAAATAGTGGAGTAAAAGTACAGATACATTACTTAAAATGTACTCAAGTAAAAGTAACACTACTTTTGCTGATTAACAGCACCTAGACCAGTACTAACCAGCATAACCCAGCCAATGAAAATTCCTGTTGGTCTGAGATGATCTTTTTTTTCAAAACTGCTTAGAGGTACTGGCTCTAATTTGAAGTGAACTAGTACGAAGATTTTTGTGACATTTGAATATGTTCACCAAATATCTTCACAAGGTTCAACAAAGTTACCTATTATGTATAATGAAGTTGCAAATTCTTGTCAGGGGGAAGAAAAAAAATCCACACTCAAAAGATGTCAGAGGGGTCCAATCTTTATTCTTCTATGAATTTGTTCTTCTATTGAAAACCGTTTCCATAGCCTTTAATTGGCTTGCCATTATATATTTTTAAAATATCCCAATTTGCTGTAATAATACCCAGCTAAACCCAGCCCAGCCTTCCCGATACTGCTTTGAAATTGCTTGTATATTGATTGTTTCATATTATTCTCTGAGTCCTTCTCTCCTCAATGTCCTGCATGCTTTAAAAGAATCATTATGCCATTTCCTTTTCTCTCTGTATTGAGGCCTTTTAAAAAGACAATCATAACTCAACATAAAAAAAATTAAAAAACTATAACAAGTTCTCTTTCAAAAACACATTGAGCTGCCTTGATATATGACACAGCCAGCTTCCTTCTAAGGCAGCATAGTGGAACTTTATAAGTGACTGATAAGAAACGCTAAATTGGTGTGCACCAGACAAAATAGTACTCTAACAGGCAAACCATATATAGCACACTCAAATATATTTCTTTAAGGTTTAATTTAATTACAATGAACACTTTTTTTCCCTCTCTCTGTTTTTTTTTTTTTTTTCGTTTTTTTTATTTATGAAAGAAATGTTAATATTTAAAGTCAACATTCCTTGACTCTGAAGGCTAAATGCAATAATGTTACATTCGAATTTGTCTAAAATGAGATATCTTCTAAGGAAGTAATATCTCTTAAAATATTATCTAGGTAGACAGCTCACTAGACAGTTTAAACCCTGTTAAACCCTACTTTATTTATTTATTTATTTACAGTAGATCTGAAACCCAACATTTTAGGGAAAAATATTATTGTTTAAAAATGTGATGCATGACATCTTTTGTATTATTAGTTCTAACAATATAGATAATTCGCCAATGTAATATATAATATAAACAAGCAATATCACATGAGTAGCCATGTGATATCGCTCTGTATCAGCATGGCTGTGATTTGGCCATAGGGACGATTTGTTTGCGTTTTATAAGGTGCCGTTGAAAGTTTTCTACAACCTTGTTTCAGTCCCTTTCAATATAAAAGTCTTTGCTACTGACTCATAAGGACAGTTTCTTATTGCCATCTAATGGCGTAAGAATGTAACCGAAATCACTAACGCACAGACCTCTTCTCATTACCAAATGCTATTATTAAATGCTACTACTATTATTTATATAAAATGTTATTTATTTAACAATAATATTTAATAAATAACAATGTCATTATAAAAGTTGCTAAGCAATTCAGTGAAGAGTACAAAGGCAGTGCTCTAATACAGCATTAAAGTTATGTAAAAATATGAAATTATGAAATTTTACCCTCAGCCAAAACTATTTGCTCTAGAACAAATAATAGATTAATGAGACCAAAGATTTTCTGTTAAATATACCCAAGACTAATTATAGCTCATGTTTAACCACTGTAGAGACATCAGAGCCAGAAGCAAATTCTAGAAGAGCTGGCCAAGGTAAGGCTGCTCTCGGCAGGTCCATGAGCACTGAACGGCGGCAGACGCCCTGGAGCTCACATCTCCGAAAACATAGAAGCAAATGTATAAATAGGTGCTATCTTTATAAACATATTTGAAGTTTAAACTACAAACTAAAAAAATCTTAAAACTACAGTCGGTGACACAACAACAGTAGTAATTGTGAAATTGTAGTGGATTTGGGCATCCGCCATAACACTCGCTGTAAGAAATGCTGCAAGCAGAGTGATACAAACTGTGAAACGGTTTCCGTGGTGATACTGGGGAATCTCTCATGGCTGGAAAAATCTCTCAGCCAATCAAATTTGAGGACCAGAACAAACTGTTGTATAATATAATATAATATAATATAATATAATGATAGATAGATAGATAGATAGATAGATAGCCTGGAGCTCACATCTCCGAAAACATAGAAGCAAATGTATAAATAGGTGCTATCTTTATAAACATATTTGAAGTTTAAACTACAAACTAAAAAAATCTTAAAACTACAGTCGGTGACACAACAACAGTAGTAATTGTGAAATTGTAGTGGATTTGGGCATCCGCCATAACACTCGCTGTAAGAAATGCTGCAAGCAGAGTGATACAAACTGTGAAACGGTTTCCGTGGTGATACTGGGGAATCTCTCATGGCTGGAAAAATCTCTCAGCCAATCAAATTTGAGGACCAGAACAAACTGTTGTATAATATAATATAATATAATATAATATAATGATAGATAGATAGATAGATAGATAGATAGATAGATAGATGATAGATTGATCGATCGATAGAGACACACACAAGTAATACATAATTTATTCATCAACATTTCACCTTGTGCATCCATGCAAGTAATCAAGTAACTATTGGTTCATAAAGAAGCATGATTATTATTCTTTGTATTCTGTTTCTGTATGAGTTTAGGAGATCAGTGACACTGAGATTATGGAGCTGGCCCACAGTTCCTTGGGAAGGATGACCGTTGTCAGGCAGATTTTCCCTCTGTGGAAAGACAGCAGCATGAGCTGTATGAGGAACAACCACCGCATCTCATCACTGCTCTGCGACCCTCAGGAGGGCTACGTGCAGTCACTGGAGGTCAGTAACCATCAAAACCGCATCATCATCAGGTTGCTGATGCTTTATAGGAGATCAAATCTATATGCAGTCTCAAACCCTCTGTTACGGGGCTGACAAGACGTGAGACGTGCGGATCCATGTGCAAGCTTTATTAAAAGCAGAGGAGGTCAGAAACACAGGCAGGGTCGAACAGTGGAAAACAGGGATATGGTGGGCAAGACACAAGAATAATCCATGCGACCTAGCGTAGGTCAACGATCGGCAAACAGAATAACAAGGGCGAGACTAGAGGGATAAATCCAGGAAAACAGGCAAAGATCAGAAACCAAGAAAACAGACGAGGCAGACTAAGCTAAGGCAGGGTAAACAAAACAGGCTCCGTAGAGTAGCTATCCAAATGATAAGCGCTAAACAATACTCGGCAGCTAGAAAGGAGTGAGATTGAGTGTTAAATAGTGAGTGAGTGATGTGAAACAGCTGTGTGCAATCAGTGCTGTGTGCAATCAGTGCTGTGTCCAATCAGTGTAATGAATGATGGGAAATGTAGTCCGAGGTGATATGCAACAGTGTGTAGTGCGAGAGTCAATGAAAATGGAAAGGGTGACCTCTGATGGCTAGCAGACGGAAGTTCATGGACAGGATTCGTGACACCCATTAAACCTCTTAAAACAAGTGAGAGATATTATTTTAAAAGTTAAGATGAGGGATTTTCAACCTTTAAAGATATGGGAACCCAGACTCTCAGTTAAAATGGTATTTGTTTGTTTGCCTTTTATTGCCAATTTATTTGTTTTTAACTTGCCTTATTTTTTAACTTATGCGGGATTTCACTATTTTTTTGTAGTTTTGTAATTTTAATTAGTTAAAAGTGTTGTGCATATTTTTTTTCTTTTTCATAATAGTTTGTTTTTATGCATTCTCTGAGATGTTCTTAATTATTTAACTAATATTACAATCAAAAGTTTGAAATAATGACCTTTTTTTAATCAATTTAAGTCTCTTATGATCACCAAGGCTGCATTTATTCAATAAAAATACAGTAAAAGTGGTGATATTGTGAAATTAATTATGTGATGGCAAAGCTGAATTTTCAGTAGGCATTACCATGGGCGTAGCTTGGGACTGAAATATTTTACTAAATTTTAGATAGATAGATAGATAGATAGATAGATAGCTAGATAGATAGATAGATAGATAGATAGATCGATAGATAGATAGATAGATACTATCAGTACTACCATATCCCAGATCACATCAAGGCAATGATCAGCAGCTACCTGGATGGAATAAAGCTCCGTTTCAAAATGAAGGACTACATCACACAGTGGCAGCACCTCGAGAGAGGGATTGTCACAGGATGTATGTACAGTTTCCCCTACCCTGTTCGTCATTTGCATGAACCTTATCATCAAAGCAGGAGAAAAGGAAACCAGAGGCCTGATGATGGACTCAGTGATCCAGCAACCAGCTATCAGGGGTTACATGGATGACCTTACAGTCACAACATCATCCATTGTATAGGCTAGGTGGGTCCTAACAAAGCTTGATGGGGTGGCAAAGTGGGCCAGAATTACTTTTAAGCCAAGAAAATCAAGGAGCTTGGTCATTAGGAAGGGTAAAATCTCCTTCAAGTACAATCTGGTCATTCAAGGCGAGATCATCCCTTCCATCAAGGACAATCCCATAAAGTATCTGGGAAAGTGGTACGACATTAAGGGACCAAAACAATGTCTGCAGCACCGAGAAGCAAGCAGAGGGTTGGTTGATGAAAATTGACAAATCAGGACTCCCAGGGAAGTTTAAAACATGGCTTTAAACAACATGGCCTGCTTCCCAGACTGATGTGGCTGATGACAGTGAACGAGGTGGCTGGGTATCTCTCAGGACTTCACATCAGCCGGGCTGTACATCAGATCTGGGTAATTATAACTACCCCTCTCTTCCCTGGTTGAGGAGTTCCAAGTAGCGAAGTACAGGGTGGCCATGATTAACCCTCTAAGCGCCAAAGTCGCAAAATTGCGACAAGACGTCATACAATAGACTGTAGTTCCTAATATGGTGCAATATTTCATTTGTATTCCCTACCACTAGATGGCAGACATGTAGTACTTCGATTCTAGACCAAAATTACATCACGTTCCTATTCAAAGTGTTCGAGGAAATAGCAGAGCAAGTGAGCTATCGTGTCATTGATGCGGAAGTAGTTCAGTTCATAGCGTGCGAGTAAATTGTGAGATTTGTGAGAGAAAATCGCCAAATGGCTAATAGAAAGTTGTACCGTGAGGATGTGTTGCAAATGTTATTTGCCGATTCTGACTCTGAAGGGGAATATTTGCCTTTTGGAAATAACGATCGGTCGTCTAATAATCGCGCTTCTCCCGGTACATCTTTGCAGTGCAATGGTGCCGCCGTGCAAGGCGAGAGTGTTCACGAAGCACAAACAAGTGATCATTTCGACCCTTTGCCCAATGGGGATGGGGGTGGCAAGGGAGAACGTGGTCGTAGTGTCTGTAGGTCAGCTGTTGCTAGAGGTAGAGGCAGCAGGGGAAGGAGAAATAGGGCTGGAAGTAGCACTAGCTGCCCCAAAGAGGTGGGAGTGGCCGCGGTACACGTGGCCGTCCACCAAAATTACGTCACGTTCCTATTCAAAGTGTTTGAGGAAAGAGCAGAGCAAGTGAGCTATCGTGTCATTGATGCAGAAGCAGTTCAGTTCATAGCGTGCGAGTAAATTGTGAGATTTGTGAGAGAAAATCGCCAAATGGCTAATAAAAAGTTGTACCATGAGGATGTGTTGCAAATGTTATTCACCGAATCTGACTCTGAAGGGGAACATTTCCCTTTTGGAAATGACAATCGGTCGTCTAATAATCGCACTTCTCCCGGTACATCAATGGTGCCGCCGTGCAAGGCGAGAGTGTTCACGAAGCACAAACAAGTGATCATTTCGACCCTTTGCCCAATGGGGATGGGGGTGGCAAGGGAGAACGTGGTCGTAGTGTCCGTAGGTCAGCTGTTGCTAGAGGTAGAGGCAGCAGGGGAAGGAGAAATAGGGCTGGAAGTAGCACTAGCTGCCCCAAAGAGGTGGGAGTGGCCGCGGTACATGTAATAAAACTGCACATTTTAGAGTGGCCTTTTATTGTGGCCAGCCTAAGGCACGCCTGTGCAATAATCATGCTGTCTAATCAGCATCTTGATATGCCACACCTGTGAGGTGGACGGATTATCTCGGCAAAGGAGAAGTGCTCACTAACACAGATTTAGACAGATTTGTGAACAATATTTGAGAGAAATAGGCCTTTTGTGTACATAGAAAAAGTCTTAGATCTTTGAGTTCAGCTCATGAAAAATGGGGGCAAAAACAAAAGTGTTGCGTTTATGATTTTGTTCAGTGTATACACACACACACACACACACACACACACATACATATAAATGTAGCAATGGTAACACTTTAGAATAGGAAACACATTCACTATTAATTAAGAGTTTTCCCTCAATAAACTGCTAATTTGCTGCTTATTAATATTTAATAAGGTAGTTTTTAAGTTTAGGTATGGGGTAGGATTAAGGAATCTAAAAATTTGGTCATGCAGAATAAAGCATTAATATGTGCTTTATAAGTACTAATAAACAGCCAATGGTAGTAATATGCATGCTAATAAGCAGCTAGTTAATAGTGAGAATTGGTCCTTAAAATAAAGTGTTACCGTAACAATAGACATGTAGGTTTCATTTTCATTTGCGATAACCTTTTATTATACAATTATTCACAAACCTAGATAATGTTTCCAAGTGTTTTCTTCCTCTGCTGTGACGTCCACATTTCTCAAAACCCCTTGAACCCACATGAAGACTAGTTTCATTGTATGGAACAGATGGCTGAGCTTTGCACCGCACATACTCTGAGGGCTTATGCTTCAATTATTCATAAAACCGAGGGTTAAATATTCTTTGATGTTTAATCACCTTGACAAGCAAACCACTAGTTCACAGCAGTGACAAACCTGTCAGCTTTTCATCTGAAAATCTGCAGTGTCAACACAAGCATCCACCTTTGTGTGCCTTTCCGTCACTCAGGAAACAAGCAATCACTGAAGTCACCCACACAGCTTTTGCTAATACCTCCTACGTGGCTTAGCTGATGGTCAGCTCCGGTAAAGTGTAACAAATGTCTTCCTGTATAGACCTGTCAGCACCTAACTAGCATGGCCATCATTCAATGATCAGAAAGTGGTTGTCTGTACAGTAAGGACAGGTACTCTGTTTTATATATCAACTGGAATGATAACTGACACCTAGCAGGTTGTAACGCTCAGCAGAGTCACACTTGGATGAGAAATGGCCATGAAAGTTTGATTTGAATCCGGTGGGTCCACCATTTTGAAGGTCATTTTTGGGGGATAAAAATATTAAACTAAGTATTATTTTAGACAAATAATGTATTTTATTATTATTATTATTATAAAAATAATATTATAATTGTAAGTCAATAGCCAGTAACATGTTTGACATGTTCATGAGAAGGGTGCTTATTATAAAGAGAATTTCATGTTGGTATTTTTACAAATATCCACCTTTAAATCATCATAACAAGATTGACATTTAGACATAATGTGTCTAAAACAACAACAACAACAATAATAATAATAATAATAATAATAATAATAATAAGGAACGTAATCTGGCCTTGGGTGCAATAAGACCTTAACGAGGAAAGGGGCAAAGTCCAAACAGGACATGCTCATTGACATGGTGATTGACAGATTGCCAAATGGTCGGAAAGGGGTGTTAAATTGATAGGGGGTTAAATTGCTCCTTTCAACAACAGGGAAAGGGACGAACACCGGAAGCAAGGGAACTGTTGTATAGTAGGTGCCCAGCAATTCTATGGGGGGCAGCCTCTACTAACAAACTCTTGTGTCCTAACACCCTCTGAAGAAGGGACAGGTGTTGCACTCCGAAAGCCCTTTTGTGCAGAGTAACAGCAAAAGTGCAGAATAACAGGCTGTCGTGACCTAGAGAGTCGAAGAGTGCAGTTTTTTAGGCTTCAAAAACAGGGGCACCATTCACTGCCATTGTGATATCTAAACACAGATATCAACGTGTGTTGTTCAGGTCTCACCTGTGCGCACGCGCTATCAGTACCCGGGTGATGACGGAATAAATGACTGCTCAAATTCCAGCATACGGCATTCGTACTGAACAAAAGTGAATGGTTTGTCCACGTTTTTTTTTTATCGCTGTTGTTGTGATGTACTGGGAAGCCAGAATGTGCATCTATCAACAGAAACATACATTAGCCGAACCCTGCTTGTTTTATGTGTTATTTATAGCAAACCATATTACAGATGCGTTGTCAGATTTAAGTTGAACCGCGGTCCTAGCGCGTGCCGAACCGTGTGTGGAGAACCGTACGGTTTAATTTTTTCGCGAACTGTTCCACCCCTAATATATATAACAATATATATATTATTTACCAGGTTAAATGTTGATTATTAGTAACACTAAGCCCTTTATCTAAACCTCTCTACTTAAGCATTGATTGCGCGCATCCACCATGTTTGTAGTTTTTTTACGCATTTTATTCGTGTTTTTAGTTCTCAACCGAATCATTTGTCAAAGCGCAATGGATTGTGGGTAATATTAGCCATTAGAGTGTGTGCGTATCCACACTTCAAAAATCGACCTGACATAGTAGACCATATGAGGACTTTTGGCATACTCTTTTCAAGATACTATGCTTTGGGACACACTAATTCTAATCTTACATACTATTTAGGATGGATAGTATGAACATTGGGAAGCAGGGTTGGTCTTTTCATTTTACTAGTAGTTATTGCACAAATATATATATATATATGAATGAGCATCAGAACAGAGGGTATGTTGAAAAAAAACAATACAACTTACTGAAATGTATTATGTCTGTAATCGCTAAAACTGTGTTTCAACCACAGAAAGACGTAAATAAATCAATTTGTAAACAAATGTAACTTTACATTTACCTCATTAAAGCCATTTTGTGTCCATAAATCACTAGTTAACTAGTTAAAATAAGGAAAGGAGACTTTTGCGAAAGATATGCACTATATTGCATACTCATTATATATGTATCTTTTGTCTTCATTATTTAATGCTAATGTAATGTATTTAATGTATGTTGGAATAAATCTGTCATGAAAACTAGTTTTTATTACTGCCAGTGTTAAGGTGTTTAAACATATTTCAACTTAAATTTAGAGTAGAAACATAATTTATATCAATAAAAAGTTGATATAAAGACTTGTGTGCAATGTAAACTCACTTTTATGTAAGTGTTGATTATTTAAAAAAAAAATGTGATTATTACTAATTATTACTATGTAATAATAATTGATTATTAAATAGCCTACTTTATTTTCATTTCTTATAGTTTCAGCTAAGTGAAAGCAGCATTTTGGTTTTGGTAAAAATCATTTTAATGCATCTCTTAATAGTTTTTTTCTTTTTCCCCTTTTGATTTCAGGTGTCCAATTTGTACCTCTATGATAGCGTGTTGATGCTGGCCAATGCATTCTACCGGAAATTAGAGGACCGAAAGTGGCACAGTATGGCCAGCCTCAACTGCATCAGGAAGTCAACCAAGCCCTGGAATGGAGGCTGGTCCATGCTGGAGACAATCCAAAAGGTACGATGCGTTTGATGTCAGGAATTTTTCAGAGAGTCTGTTTTGCTGCTTGTCACACTGTTGGGGGGATATCACATATAGCACGTAAGACTAGAAGTGGCAAGATGGAGAGTAGTTGAATAAAAGCAACTGTGACAAGATGATAGTTCCCTTTGCTTTACATCAGGTCCCAGACATATGGCTTTTTGAAATGCAAATTGCTTTCATCTAAGTTGTTTCCTGCCTTCCCCTCTCACCACTGCAATCACATTTCTCTTGAACACTAGCACAGCGGTCAAGCTGAGATAGCTGTTGGTTGTCCTCACACAGAGCTCTCTTAGGGGCTACTGAACGCTGCACAATAGTTGGTGTGGTGGCCGCAGCAGCTGATGTCTCATCTTAGGAGCTCATGTCTCTGTGAGCTCTCAGGGGCAGCAAGCGGTCTAGTGTGTGTTCCTCAATTTCACACCCTTTTAACGTTATATGAGCCACACAGAACTGCAGAAAGCCTCTAATCGGCCCCGAGAGGGACACGCCACCGATAGATTTGTCTCTGAACCTTCCACCGCCCCTCTACAGTCAAACCAGTGGTTGGTCTGAAGTCAAAGCTATAAGCCTTTCATGTTGATGCTTTTTAAATGTTGAGCGACCCACACCACTCTAAGCAGGTGGTGCAGTTAAACCAGTAAAGAAAACAATTTCTTTTAAAGAAAATTTTCTTTTAAAAAACGCTTCTTTAAAAAGGTTAATAAAATTAACATTTTTAAGTGAATTTTCATTTTTATTATTATTCTATGTTTAGGTTTGAACATCCATCCTTTGGTAAGAATAGTAGTCACAATTTTAAAATGTAGCCGACTTATTTGGGGGATATCAAATTTATGGGTAGGGGTGTTAAATAATAATTATTTTTTTGTTTTGTTTAGTTTTTTCCCCATAGGGTTTTAACATTCTAAAAGCTCTTTATTCCAAAGATACTACAAGCTAGTCAGTGTATTCAGTAGGTGTAATGTATTGTAAGTTGCTTCAGAAGTATTGCGAGTATTACCGGTACATACAACAATAATAAAACAGTGCATTGACATAAAAAAAGGAAATGTACTTTTGGTACTTAAGTACTTTTAAAAGCAAGTACTTCTGTACTTTTACTCAAGTAAAAATCTGTCTTTACAACTTTTACTTGTAATAGAGTAATATTTGACCAGCAGTATCTGTACTTTCACTCAAGTAATGGAGTTGTGTATTTTGTCCGCCTCTGTGTGTATATATATATATATATATATAGTTACATTTCATTTAAATTTAACAACAACAACAAAAAAACGTCTGAAAACCTGAACTTGTTCTAGGTGTATGCCCACAATTTTGTGTATCTGCTCGCTTAACAGCAGCTATATTCACATGTAAAATGAACTGATGGTATAACTGCAGCACTGGTCTGATTGGGCAAGTAGTGATAATGCCAACTGAGCCAAACCTCTCTCCCAGTGTCCCCAGGCCATGAGGACATTCTTATGGTCAAGCCGAAGGAAGCCTAAAGTTTTAAAATTGTAATTGGTAAAATTCAGTGCATAAAGTGTACAGCACATTGCACTTTGATCTGGCTCAGTTCTTTTTACTGTGTTGCATTATTGTGTATTGATTCAGACAGTTTTGTTCTACAGGGCCGTATAACTGGTCTCACTGGAATTATGGACTTCATGGACAATGGATCAAATTCCCACATTCAGTTTGAAATTTTGGGAACAAGCTTCAGCGAGACGTTTGGAAAAGACATAAAACGAGTGAGTGCAATAGCTCATGCTTTCATTTCTAGTGCCTGGAGTAAAAGCTGTCTTTTGACATGATTTTTTTCATTACCAGTCAAATGAAAACTTAAATTGAGTTCTCTGCTGGCGAGTGATCTGGTTTTTAGAAAGACTTGTCAATGAGAACAACTCGACTTGATGTCATCTGTGCAGATTGTGTACCCAGACTGCCATTTTGACCCCTCACCTCTGTGTCAAACAGCCGAGAGGTGAATGTAAACGGCAGGCTGACGGGCCTGACGGGCCAGGCCAAATGTGCTTTAATGCAAACTTGATGACATGGGCCTATTGTCCTATGTTTAAACAGAATAAGCTAAGTGTTCCCTAGTCTCAGCTTCAGACGTCACGCCCATGGTCCGTTGGCTGAACGTCTGATGCATACGGCACACAAAAGTGGAAACTCTTCAGGAGTTCCGAAGTCGTCATCGGATTGGTTGAATTATACAGGATTTCCGGGAGATGTGTGTGTTGCATTCTTTAATGTCCCGCCTGGAAACAAAAATGCCGTGCCGCCAAACCCCCTCACGAAAGAAGAAAGCCGTCGTGTTTACAACTGTGAAGGCGAGCGCTTAGCAGGATCAACTAAACGCTGGATTCTCAAAATTATGTAAAATTTTTAAAGTTCGCGGCACAGAATCCTTAAAATACGTCCGAGAGTTTTACACACCGGTCTGTTATTGTGGCGACATTTCCATGCCCCGAAACGTGCCGCTGAACGAAATGAACTGTGATTGGTTGTTTGACATGTCAGTCAAACGGCCTCATGGGCGGGCCTTGGCCAAAGAAAGCTGCCATGGATTCCAGACCTTCAGCCGTCAGTCACAAGTAATTTTCATTACAGATAGTCTGTCCTCTCTTCTCTTCTTAGCTGGATTTGCTGATTTTCATGCTTTGTTTTTGTAGCCATAAACTGTTTGCCTCCATCCATCATTTAAAATAAAGAGTAATATAAATACAGGAGAGGAAACAGTCTGCTGTTAATGAAGATTTAATCACCCTGCATCCCAACCTGAATTATGAACCCACTGTATCACATTATAGCCATTAGGATCCACAGCGTCACAACCATTAACTCCCTGCCCGCATACACACGGGCCCTGGCAGTACCGGCTCCCCCTCATGCAAAGCACATTTATTAGCTATAATAAAAGGAAAGGACAGCTAGGCCTGTCACGATAACAACTTTTTGTTGTGCGATATATTGCCCCAGAAATAATTGCGATAAGTGATATTATTGTCATTTTAAAGACCATTTTATGCCACTGAATATATAATCATAATGTAACAGCATAATAATGCAAGAAGGCCTACACACTTCCAAATGACAACAAACTTTACATTTTTAAGAATATTTAGATCATGGAAATTAAGTATCAAAATACTAGATTCCTTTAAAAACCTGAATAAATAGTAAATAAACATTTTCTAACAAAAAGTCCAAAGTAACAAGTAGAAAAAAGAAAACTGCACAAAGAACTTGTATGGAGATTTTTCCATTTACAGATTTTTCCCTGACCTTCTTTTCCCTGTAAATGAAGGGTGCACACTATTGCTGAAAAACACAATCACTACTCAGCAGTCAGATGCCCGTATGCACAAAGGCACAGATCCCTAAACAAGACCATATCTGCAGATGAAACTTTTTTTGTAGAAGCATTTTTTAAATTTGAACTAGCACCTCATGACTACACCACGTTATGTATGAGAAGCTGCAAAAGACACAGGCGCAAGTGGAATGTACAAAACATGGTGACATTCATTTTTAAGTAAATCTAATGGGCGATATATTGCGTAACCAACATTCATTGCGGTCATGAACATATATTGCGCGATAAGTCGATATATTGATTATTGCGACAGGCTTAAGGACAGCTAATGGTACGTCAAGTGTACTCAGTCCTGTTGTTGTTCATTATTAGAGCACCAGCTTTAGTCTTCTAAGCAGTGCCACCCAAGAAGAGATTAATGTAGCCAACTGCAATTCCACCCTGCTATGGAGACAAACAGCGAGCCGTGCTGTTAATTTGACAAATGTCATGGTTTGAAAGCAGAGGCAAATACATTTACTGGCTAAACAAGAATCCCTTTGGAGGTAAAAGAAGGCTGAAAAGTTTCAAGTGATTTCTTCAGGGGTGACTCAGTACCCTTTTATAGTGTTCACTTTTGTCTTATCTTAGTCTTTAGTCTCTCTGTCTCTCTAAATGGCTTTTCTCTGACTGCTTCTATATATCAGCTCTGTATGAAAATCTACTCAGCTGCCGGCCAAGACAGCATTTTAAAACGTTTGTGGTGCATTCCCATCACTAACACTCTGTCTACACTGGATGTGAACAGGGCGTTGTGTCATGCCGTGTCATGTCAATGGCAAAAATAACCCTTATAATAAATGATGCTGCTGACAATTGCACACTAACAGCATAGATGGATACCCAGTTCTATTTCTGACATTCTTTTTTGTATTTCCAACAACAGGACAAATGGATGAGGAAAGAGTTATCGAGGTGATCTTTTTTTTTTTTTTTGGAACGTTCGCTTTAACACATCCAGTGTAGATAGGCTTAAGTTGTTGCAGTGCATTGTAAACAGGGCAAGGCTGTTCCAAATTGTACCTCATTTTGGCAAAAAAAAAATAAATTAAAAAAAAAATTGTCACGTGACCCTTCGCAGGTAATGAAATTCCACAATGTATTGCAACAAGCTCAGTAAACAAAAACAAAAAAAGTCAGATGAAACAAGAGATAAGTTGTAACAGTAACCCCTGTTTTTGCTTAAAAGTCTATGGGACAGTCTTGCTAAATAGGGCAAATTAGCATGATATATAAAGCACCAATAGGGCTGAAAAATGATATGGGTGATCTACTGACAATGCACAAATGAAAGAAGACCCAGCCAGTGCTTTTCAATAATGACCAATGCAATCTACCAAGAGCATGTGCAAATTAGCAAGTATCACAGCCAGATGATGCCAACCCTGAAACAACTTACAGAACTACCACATTTTGCAATAAGTTTGATTGCATCATATAATAATTGCTGTTAATAGTGTTCATCGTCTGTTTGATTACGTCTTTAATTGATTTTTCCGTACATTTCTGCCATATGTACATTAACTGACAGTCACCACTGATAAGCTACCACTAAATATTGTAGAAACTTCATTTGCTGTAAAGTTGCTTTGCAACGATTTGTATCGTGAAAAGCGCTATACAAATAAACTTGAATTGAATTGAATTTAAATTGAATGTGAAGTGCAAAAGGGGTTAAGATGATTTATATAATTTATTATATCTTATCATGATTATATTTATTTTATCATGATCTATTTAAATATTGTATTCCCTAAATATTGCGTCTGAAAGGAAAACTTCTACAAGTGCATATGCCATGAGGTTAGCCACAAAAATAACTGCGTCCATGCCTTTCCATTGCTAATTTTTCACTGTCTTTAGAAAATCCTGACAGTAGTTGCATCAGTGCAAACTCAGTTGTTGTTTGTTTGTGTGTGTGTGTGTGTGTGTGTGTGTGTGTGTGTGTT